CTCATCAATAAATATGGATATATATATAATCCCACTAAACAAGACTTCTTTGTTATCCCAATCATTTTTAAGAGCATGAAGGGGTTTTGAGATCAAAGACTTTGAGACCTACAGCCTTGAGAGTATGATCTTTCAATGTATTCTAAACTTGGTTTTTTGGTTCCTCCAGTGGTGTGTCTCTTGTGCCCATTATATTAAAGAGAAAATTTATAGAATGGTGGGGACTGAGTACAATTTACAATATTTGTATACTATTTGGAAAAAAAAATAGTTTAAAAAAAAACAAGCTTTTCCAATTGCAGTCTATTTTTTACAAGTCTTTCTCTGTAAGTCATTTCTATTAACCGTGCCTTGCTATAGATGTTTATAACAAAACATTAAAGACTGAGTAGGAAGGGAAAACAAATTACTCTGCAGAGAACCCAGCAACTCTGCTAAAATACTGTCAGTTATTTATCTACTGTCAGCAGAGGTTGCACACTATAATCCTTGACAAGCTCAGATTCAGAAAGAATGAAGAGAGGGGGCAAGCATTGCATTTAAGGGCCTGTTCTCATGCACAGACATTTTAACACAGATTTAAAGCCAGAATGTATCTCCTAGAAAATGTCACTTTTGATTTTGATACATATCCTAGCAAGCAGGCTCTACATTTGGTTGACTTAGTACAAAATATGTTAGAGGCTAGCACTATATTTTAGACCATTCGTGATCCCAGCGTGGAACTAACACAATGAGGTCAGCATCACTTCATTTTCAGAGTTGGCTACTGCAACTGCATGATTTCATGAGCATATTTTTTATGGTAAGGGTGAGGGTTTTATTCTTGTTTTGTTAGGCAAGATAATGACAGGGTCTAAGAACCCTGTTGCCCTCGCCAGTGTCCATTTCTCCTTTACGTTTATAGGGGAAACAATCATCAATGTGTCCTCCTGTCCTGAAATTCTGTCCCTCTGGAAAACGTGCATGTTCAAGGCAAAAATGTAACAGACTAAAGGGCTTCCTGCAGGCTACTCTAAAGAAAACCCCCCTTCAAGCAGGTAGTTAATACCGCTTATAATACTGACAAGAACATGTGAAATGTCAAGAATGGGGAGGGTTGAATAAGAAATGTAACTCCAGTCATCTCCTGTGGAAACCACAGCTGCCTTTAGCACACGATTCATATTGACTGGTCAATTACATGATTTTACCCATACGATCAGGGGTCTAAAGAAATGTGTGCTTGTAGCTAGGGATGTTTGATGAATGCTGAACCAGAATCTTAATTTTCTAATTCATATTCACCAATTAAAAATAAACTGTATTTTTATGAGCGAATTTACATAAATCAGATGATAAAGCATCTACCACTAAAGGGTAGGAGTTCAGCTCACAACATTTGCATATATTCTCCTAAAGAAAATATAGGCGTTTTAGATTTTCATTGAAGAGTCTTGCTGCGTTGGAACTCTAATGGGCTTAGAACAGTAAATTTTGAAGAAACTGATTGCTACCCCTGTAGCTAGTAAATGTCTGCCTAGACCCAGTGGCATTTGAAAAAAGTGTTTTATCATAAAATTATCCCAGCAGAGTCCATTCTGCAAGATAACATCATCATCATCATCATCAGTACTCCATGCAGGACCCAACAGCTCTGGCACAATATTGCCAGTCATTTATCTGTTGTCAGCACAGGTTACACACTGTAATCCTTGACTGCCTCGGAATTAGAATGTCTTTGATGTCCCCACAAGAGTTTTTTGCCCGAAGGCTTTACCAATGCTCGGCGGCTCAGTGTTTATTCCTCGTAATCTTCCTCTCATCTCCAGGCTAGCAGTGACAGATGGTTATGGGCACACAATAGTATTAAGAGTTTGATATTTTTTTTATGCTGTGCTCTCTGTACAACAAATAGCTATCAGACGCGGGCCAGAGAGCTGACATGGCTCGCTTAGGTAATGGCAAACAAACAGCTCGGGTTGATGCTTTCTGTCATTTCCCCTCCTAACCCTGCTTGTTTTCATTGTATACTCTCAAAGGTAAACTATATTAACCTTATAGACTGTTATTAAAAAGATATATCTATATGAGCATAAAGTGCTTTTCTTTTCTCTTTTTCTTACTCTTTTGATTATGAAAGTAATACTGCTGACATATTGAACAAATATCGAATGTCAACATAAATTTTTAGTGTGTGATAATATCCCCCTTCATATAGCTGTGTGTCAGGCGGGAACCCGCGGATGATGCATAGCAGTAAATAACCCAAACAAAATTAGTTCTCTTGTCAGCTTCTACCTTGTATGTCCCCAGGCATCAGTAAAATTGACTGCACGCTAGATTTTCAAAATTAGCCCTAATGTTAGCTATGTGTCTGGCAACCTCCAAGTTTCCAATGTTCTACTATATTACCCGTAAGGATGAATGTGTTACTTTTATATTTTGGCATTTACTCTTGCTGATGCGGCTTTTTTCCCTCTTCTCCAAATTAAAAATAATTTAGCTTTAACAATAAGAATGCACACAAACATAATGCTGCATTTCTTTAAGCAACTAACTTTAGGCAATTAAATTAAATTAAAGCAAAATATACAAAGGAAGAGAGGGAATTATTCAATTTAATATTGTTAATTTTATTAACATAGCTCTGTCTTATTTTGTGCAAAGCGCTGAGTAACATGGCTCTCACT